TCTGTCTCTATGTCTCTCTCTGTCTGTCTGGCGAGCGCACGCGCCCTACAGTGAAAATCTCTCCAAAAAAAAAAAAAAGAGAGAGGTTTTATTAAACTTCACTTATTATTATTATTATTTAAAATTTATTTCTAGAATTATTTTATTTAACTTTATTTATTTATTTTAGTTTGCTCAGAGAGGGACAGAGAGAGAGAGAAAGCTGCCAGTTTCCAGATTCGAACTGCTGGCCATGTGGGGGTCCAGTGCCCTTAACCATCGTTCTACCTGCTGGCCCATTATTATTACTTTTAAATTTTACCAGAGACAAAGAGAGAGAGAGAGGGATAGCGAGAAATCAAGCCACCAAGTCTAGGTCTCAAACTGTGGTTGGCCATGTGGGAGTCCAGCACCTCTAACCACTATACCACCTGCTGGTTCCAAAAGAGATTTCTGCTATAGGGCACATGCACTTGCTGGAGACATAGAGACAGAGAGACAAAAAGCAAGAAATCACCTCCCTGGGGATAGCCACGCTAGTCACTTCTCCATTCTCCTCTCAGTATTTTGGACACACATCATCCAGTGTGCGTTGTAAGCCACTGGGTCCAGGACTTGTACTGCAATCGACAGCGTGGGAGTCCAGCAACGTAACCATTATGCCAGCTGGTCCCGCAAAGTGAGTTGTTTTTGTTTTTGTTTTTTTGTAAGAGAAATTTTTGCTGTGGGGTGTATGTATTTCCAGGAGACAGAGTCAGAAAGCGAGAAATCACCTCCCACCCCCCCGGGTGGATGGCCACACTGCAATACTTTCTCCTCCATTCTCATCTCTGGATTTTGGGCTCACATGTACACACGCCCAGCATGAGTTTTAAGCTGCTGAGTCCGGAAACCGTAGTGCAGTTGACCACGTGGGAGTCCCACGATGTAACCATTATGCCAGCTGGCCTGCAAAATTAGTTATTATTATTTTTTTTTCTTTTAAGAGATTTTTGCTATTGGGCGTTTGCAGTTGCCAGAAAGATAGGGACATAGAAAGGATGAAATCCACCCCCCCAGGGAGGATGGCCACGCCACTCTCCTTTTTCTTCCATTCTCCTCTTGGGATCTTGGGGGTACACGCATGCTCCCGGCATGAGTTTTAAGTTGCTGGGTCTGAGACTTGAACTGTGGTTGACTACGTGGGAGTCCAGCGACCTAAATATTATGCCATCTGCTGGTCCTTGCAAAATGAGTTTTAAAAAGTTCAGCAACTTGGGACCAGCAGTTAGCAAAATGGCTATGTCACTGGACCCCCACGTAGTCGACCGTGGTTTGAGTCCCGGACCCAGTGGCTTAAATTCATGCTGGGCACGTGTGCGTGCATGCCCAAGATCCCAAGAGGAGAATGGAGGAGAAGGGATTGCGGCGTGGCCATCCCCCCTGGGGGTGTGATTTTTCGCTTTCTGTCTCTCTGTCTTGCTCTTTCTGGCGAGCACATGGGCCCTATAGCAAAAACCTCCAAAAAAAAAAAAAACTAAAACAAAAAAAAAGTTCAGCAACTTGTCTAAGTCCACCCCGAGTAGTAATAAAGCTAAATTGGAACCTGTGTCTACATACATTCTGTACAGTTTCTCCCCGGCTTATGCAGCCTTTCAGAGGAGTCTGTGGTATCCTTCATCTGGTATTCTGTAGTGTTTTGATGATATGAATAAAAGGTATTACATAACATGTGGTTATATTCATAGTTTAAGAACATTAAATTACGGGAACTAGTGGTGTGGTTAAGGCAGTTGGGTCCCACATGGCCAACTGTGTGGTTTGAGTTCTGGACCTAGAAGCTTGAAAAATACACTGGGTGCGATTGAAAGTATGCCCAAAATTCTGAAAGGAGGGAGAAATTGAGAAGGGATTGCGGTGTGACTATCCCTCATGGGGGGAGGGTGCTTTTTCACTGTCTTTTCCTCATTCTCTGTCTGTTTGGCCAGAGCACGGGCTATCTGACAAATAATAAAAAATACATACATTAAATTGTGCTGGCCCCATAGCACAGCGGTTAAGCACTGTGCCTATGGAGCTAGATCATACATGGCTAGCCACATTCAAATCCTGGCTCCAGCAGCTTGTCAGACATGTTGGACATGTGTGCCCCAAAGCCTGATGGGATTGAGAAATAGAAGAAAAAGACTGTGGTTCCTCCTGACTCTTTCTGTGTCTTTTATGTACTCTACAGCTTGGTGCATGTTCTGTTTCATGCTCCATCCTTCGCTTTGTCATTTTCTGTCAAGACTATAAACCGTGATTGAAAGCAGTTTTGTCTCCATATACATCTCACCATTCTCATTTTACTATTTTAAGATTCTTTGGTTAAGTAAAACTTATTTCTTTCAGATCTAGAGACTGCAAGTGAATTTGAACCATCGGTTTCCAGTAAGCACATTACTAAAGACCAACAGCCCTTTGACATTAAAATGAAAGGAATGGCAAGGGATGATCTCTGGTATTTGTCAGTAGAAAAAGTGTGGGAATGTGGAGATGAGTCGGACAAGTACCAGGAAAACCAGGAGAGACATTTGAGGGAAGTGGCATCCACCCAAAAGAAAGTGCTTCCTCAGGAGAGCATCTGTGAGAGCGGGAGCTGTCTTCTTCCTGCTCAGCTGCTATGGAGGGACTATTTCCATAAATGTGACTCCCATTCTAAAAGTTTGAAACATGACTTTATTTTTAGGGGTCATCAGGCAAGCCATGTTAGTAACAGTGAGGAGTGTGATCCAGCTTTTTATCAGAACATTCACCTTATTCAGTTTGCAAGAACTCATACAGGAGATAAATCTTACAAATGTCCTGATAGCAAGACCTCTCATGGTACATCTGTTGATATTTCAAAGGGCACACATAGAGAAAAGTCTTACGAGTGTAAGGAATGTGGGAAGTTCTTTAGCTGGCGCTCTAACCTCACCAGGCATCAGCTTATTCATACTGGGGAGAAACCCTATGAATGTAAAGAATGTGGAAAATCTTTCAGCCGGAGTTCTCACCTCATTGGACATCAAAAGACTCATACAGGTGAGGAACCCTATGAATGTAAGGAGTGTGGGAAGTCATTCAGCTGGTTCTCTCACCTTGCAACCCATCAGAGAACTCACACGGGAGACAAACTGTACACGTGTAATCAGTGTGGGAAATCTTTTGTCCATAGCTCCAGGCTTATTAGGCACCAGAGAACTCACACTGGAGAGAAGCCCTATGAATGTCCTGAGTGTGGAAAATCTTTCAGGCAGAGCACACATCTCATCCTGCATCAGAGAACTCACGTTAGAGTTAGGCCATATGAGTGTAATGAGTGTGGGAAGTCTTATAGCCAGAGGTCTCACCTTGTCGTACACCATAGAATTCACACTGGACTGAAACCTTTTGAATGTAAAGATTGTGGAAAGTGCTTTAGTCGAAGCTCTCACCTTTTCTCACATCAGAGAACCCACACAGGGGAGAAACCATATGAATGTCATGATTGTGGAAAATCTTTCAGTCAGAGTTCTGCCCTTATTGTGCATCAGAGAATTCATACTGGAGAGAAGCCGTACGAATGTTGTCAGTGTGGGAAAGCCTTTATCCGGAAGAACGACCTCATTAAGCACCAGAGAGTTCATGTTGGAGAAGAGACCGAAACCTATAAATGTAAGCAGTGTGGCATCATCTTCAGCCATAGCTCTCCATACATCGTACATCAGATTGGCCACACAGGAGAGCAGTTCCTAACATGTACCCAGTGTGGGGCAGTGCTCGTGGATAGCACTGACCTTATTAGATACCCAGCAGATCATGTTAGAGAAAACAGTTACTAAGATAATGAAAAGGAAAAATTCTTCACAGAGAACAATATCTTTATTTTGTGTTGGAGAACTTCTGGAGAGAAACTGTACAAGTGGAATCTGTGGAAATGCTTCTAGTGTTGTTACTACCCTATATACACTATAGATTTGGTCCCAGAGTGGGGAAGAAGCCCACAAGTTTCATTTCATTGCACAGGTATATCAGATTTTCTTCCACAAATTCCTACAAAACCAATTGCCGTGGGAGCATTCTTGACTAAGCTTTAAGTGCTAGAATCTGAGAAGAAACCGTTAAATAGGTGAGTTGTTGAGAGAATCCAGCTTTATTATTCTTCAAAAAGATCAGTGAATGAGTGCTGTTGTAGGGAATGTTGTGCTGAGAATTTAAAAATTGATATTGGTACAAAAGAAAATATGTCCACGAGTGAGTGAGTATGCCATTTGTTTATTTGACTATGCCTCTTCCGGGACACTCTGTACTGTTGTGTATGTCTAACATGTCTTGTCGAGACCACATTTTGGTTAGGAGTAAAGAAAATACCAGATAAAGCAATTAGAGAGCAACACACTCACACTACTGGTAATGCTGGTTTTAAATATCTTTGCATGTGGGCAAGAATCTAAGGTATCTTAGATAAATGAACAAAATTGATGTTGTTAGTGAGATTATGAGTGAGTTTTATATTGTACTCAGTGTTGCTGTAATGACTGTTGTAAGATATTTACCTACTGAAAAAGGATATTCACTGTCAAGGGAGACTGGGGAATATTCACTAGTAAACTTTCCTGTTAATTTTAAGTTGTTTTGGGTTTAGAGTTAGAGTTCCACTCTATGACATGGTGTTAAAGGCTCTTGAGAATTTTAAAACACAGTAATTCTCTGGATGATGGGACCTAAGGAACATGGACACATCAGGGTGGGTCTCCTTTTGAGTGGGAGCAGCTATCTGAGCAATACTTAGAACAAGTGTGCTCATGAGATAGAAATAACAGTGCTGGGGCTGGCAAGTGGTGGCATGGTGGTTAAGGGCACTGGACTCCCACATGGCTGACCGTGGTTCAAGTCCTGGACCTGGTAGCTTGCTTTCTCTCATTTTCCCTCTCTCTCTCTCTCTCTCTCTCTCTGTGTGATACACACACACACACACATATATATACACATATACATATACACACACATATATACTTTATTTAATTTTTGTAGTGTACAAAAGGAAGATAATACATCTTATGGGACAGACAGTCCTGAGTTGAATTCTGACAAAACCTTTAGTGTTTATCTGACCTTCTGCAAGTATTTAACCTCTCTGGAGACCATTTTTTTTTTTTTTTTTTTTGACTTACAGGCAATAAAAATAAAGTAAGTAAATAAGTAAATAGTTCAATAAAGTAATTCTTAAAAGAAAAATAAATAGCAGTGCCTAAAAAATGTTCCTTCTCAGGGTAATCTTTTTTTTTTTTTTTAATCCCTATGTTTACTTCCTGACCGACTGTTCACACTGACCCATAGGGAGTCTTTCAGCTCTATAAAGAAAACTTTGCTGTGATGACCATAGAGTTGTGCTAGACAACTCATGTCAAAAATCCCGTCTCCATCCCTTACTAGTTGGGTGATGTTGGCATATTGCTTCGCTTCTCAGTGCCTCAGGCATGTGCACTTACCAGAGTGTCAGAGACTCAAAGCGAGAAATCACCCTCCTGTGGGAAGTTCATGTCAGTATCCCTTCTCTTCCATTCTCCAGTCTGGATTTTGGGTATACATACACACATGTCTTGTGTGACTTTCAAACTGCTGGGTCTGGGAGTCGAATGGCATTTGGTCATGTGGAAGTCCAGTGATGTAACCATTACATCATCTACTGGTCCCCACAGCTGTTAAGTTTTAAATCATTGCTAGCTGTGATTATTAATACTATTGCTGCACCTTCATGTCTGTAATTTTGCTTAAAACTGCTTGTGTACTTACAAGAACTCAATGAGTGGGGGTAGCAGGTGGTGTGATGGTTAAGGTGCTGAACACCCATGTGACTAAGTTTGGTTCAAGTCCCAGACCTGGCTTGCTTTCTCACTTTCCCTCTTTTTCCCTCTCTGGTCAAATTTAAATTAACAGGAGAAAATAAAAGAAGCCTTGAAAATAAAACAAAAACTCAGTGTGTACTCACTACTCTTCCAGTCTCACATGTTTTTCTCTTTTGCCTGACCCAGAATTTACTGACCTTGGAAACATCACTGAAAGATAGCACACACGTGGTTTCATTTTTGAGGCTCTATAAATAACTTTTAACATTATATACAAAATTATTGTTTGTACAAAGGTTTCCACTTCTAAAGGAGAGGATCCAAATCATAACATTCTCTCCTAAGCCCATGGTCCGAAAGTGATTTGGAAAGAGGATCTATTTTAATTTGGTTTTATTCCGTAAGTGAACATAGGAACTGACTATGTTTTGTCAATTTGTACCATATTTATAAGATACGTGATGATAGATTATTGAATGATAGATTAATATTGTTGAGACCAACAGGACTGAGATCTTGGTATCTCTCCCAGGAATAATACAGAAGTGATAGAGTCACGAGACTTCAGGACTACGAGGAACACGAGAAGATCTAGTTCATGGTTTTCCCTGTACAGTTGGGATAGTTGGCTCTAAATCTCACATTTTCAGTGAAGTAAGGACCAGAATTAGTTTCTAGGCTCTTTAATTCCTGC